GAGAGACAGAGAGGGGAGGGAGTAGAGAGGTAAAAATTAGGGTTAGGGGTTTTATATGTTACCTGATTTTTGAATAATGAAATTTGGTCCCTGATTTTTGAATTCCAATCTTCAAACCCCTGGAATTATATAATTTCCTCTTCTAACTAATACTCATTGTTACAACAAAATCCAATTAGAGAGTGAATGGAGCAATTGTCCAATTTGAGTTGCGAGTAAATGATGGGCTCTTAGTGGACAACTCCTTGATCTCTTTGTTGTTGTTTGAGAATTTGCAAAAGGGTTTAGATGAGACCTAGCATCTTTCAACTCACGTTCAACATATCTGGTCTTAGCAACAAATCATTCATTCAAAGATTGACAACATTCACTCTTTGACACAACAAAATGGATGAGTTTAATAACAAAAAAATTACGTGGCATTAGTGTTTGGGAAACAAGAAGAAAAAGTGAAAGGGAATTAAAATGCTAAACGCTCTGCCTGCCACACACCACATTTCCCCCGCCGAACCCTCTTTCCTCGGATCTAAAGTCGTGAAATCCTGACGGACGGTTCCGCTTTGGGGTGCTCATCTTATCCACACTTCCCCGCGAAAACATAATTACAACAACATGAGTGTGGCTCACGTGGGTTTTCTGGAGTTGGCGAAGACTGAATTTGCCATCCCAAAAGTTGGGCATCACCGTCTTCACATTTGGGGAGTGAGAATTCCAATTTGGGGGAGAAGCTGCTAGCGTCAATGCCATGTTACGGGGGAGTGTGAAAGAAAGAACAATCGGTGACAAAGCGGCAGCGAAATCGGAGTGAGAGTCTTAGTGTAGGTTTTTTGTTTTCAAAATTTACGTTGTTTTTTTTTCAAATAATGCTTGACAGCTCATCTGGAACACTTTTGTCAACCTTTTTCTAGGACACGTAGTTGAATTGTTTAATAAAACAATAAAATCTAATGGGAAGTAATATTTAGCCTATAAACGTCTTCCATTAAAGAGGTTTTTTTTTGGGAAAAATGAGTATTGTAATAATGATTTTTTGGAGAATGTGTGGTTAAAAAGTAAAAAAAGTTTTGAATTTACGCGCAAAATATTTTATTATATGAATGTGATTGAAAATGAGTTTAAAAAAAAAAAGAATTTTGATTTAATGGAAGACGAACAGGGAACTTCTTCATGGAATCTATAATTCTACTGAGATGGCTAGCATAAGAATTAAAATATCTATATTTTTCTTAAAATTTAGCATTATAAATCTTTTAGTATATAATAATTAAAGCTCGTAACTAAGTTAATTATAAGTCAAAATCAATAATTAAGTTACTTGTTAGTTAGAGTTCGTAATTGAGTTTTTCTTTATAAAATTTTTATTTTTTTACGAAATGTTACAAGTAATATCGCAATGCTGATCAATGAATAATTGTGACAATATGAGTTCTAATTGACAAGTGATGAAATGCATTTGAGATAGTAGTAAGAATTGCTACGAAAATGAAGGGTGAGTTTGGTCTGCTGTTTTCAAGTTATTTTCAATTTTGTAAAATATTGGAAACGTGTTTGATTTGTTATTTTTGAAAATGTATTTTCGAAAACAAAGATACATTTATGACATTTTGAGTGTTTTCAGTGAAAATTTTGAAAATATGAAAAACAAGCGTTTAAATAAAATTATAAAAAATTAAAATTCAAGAAATAATTTTTTTTTTTAAAAATTAAAACTAAAACTATGAAAAAATAAAGTTTATAAAAATTTCTAAAACAACAAAAATAGTTCTTGCTCTTAATGATTATTTACATAATAAATTTTAAAAAATTATTTAAATCAACACAGACAAAAATATTTTATATCCACGCATTAGTTTTATTTTTATTTCCTATTTTTTGAAATTAATTTTTTATTTTTTAGTGAGAAAAAATATTATAAAATTCACTAGCTTTAAAATGTATATAATATTTGGTAATATATTAACTTAAAATTGTTCTTTTTTTTATTGAACAAACAAATTTAATGGAATAAAATGTAATAAAATGATTTTTCAAAATTTCAAATCAAACGTGTTTTTTTGTTTTGAGAAATAATTTTTCAAAATGTAAAACCAAACGCTTTTTTAAAAATTCTAAAACAGACCCTCAAAACTGAAACAGAAAATGAACTTAAAACTAAAAATCGAAACACAATTTAAACGAACCCAAAATTTTTGAACATTACAATTCAATTCAATTGGGGAATTTGGCCAGACGGTCGGGTTCAACTAATAATTTGGACAAAAGGCATTTGACTCATGTTTAAAAAAAAATAAGAATGTAATAAAATGGTAAAATGACAAAATTGCCCTTCACCTATTAACTCAAAATTCACCATTTTTTCCCCTAATTTCACCACTGTAGAACCCTTCTCCATTTTTTGAAATTTCCCGGCTCCCTTCTTCCCCCTCCATCACCTTTAAACTGCCTCTAAACAATCCCCAAATCGAGATAATCCAAGCTCCTACTCGTCATTGTTGACTACTCGAAGAGCCCAACCCAAGCGTGAATAAGCAACAGCCATTTAATTTCAGAAGTTTGAGCAAGAAGTTCGAGCAATGAGTCGTTGGAAGGAGGTAAATTCGAACACTTTTATTTTACCTTTTTTTCGTAGTCACATTTGTAGTGCGAAGATGATTTTTGTGGGTTGGTATGATTTATATGGATTGTTGCATACAAATATTAGGTATGTTTCACTATATTAGTTTCAAGTTCTCCACTCTTCCGCTTCTACTTGCACCTTATGTAACTTAGGGTCCGTTTGATAGTAAGGGTGGAAAATGAGTGGAAAGAAAATGAATTCCAGGGAAAGTAATTGCCTAAAAATTATTTTCCAGAGAATTGTTAATTAAGTGTGTTTGATTGGTATAATTTTCCACCTGAAATTTTTTTAAATTTTGTATTCGTTTGCATCGAAATTGTCCATTAAAGTGATATTTTTTTCAACACTTGGTTATAAAATTTGTTTCCATTACCAAAAAGTAAAAAAAAACAAAAAAAAAAAGTTTCCTAAAAAATCATTTTTTTAATCAAAGTTTAGTGTTCGTTTGACCTTCATTTGCATCAAAATTGTCTATGAAAGTGAAATTTTTTTTACACTTGGTTATGAAATTTGTTTCCATTTCTAAAAAAAAAAAATGAAAAAAGTCAAAAGTGACGGCTGTGGTTGGAAAATCAATTCTCACCTTTTTCACCAATTTCTAAGAAAGTCAGGCGCGTGGCCACCATCCAAGAAAATTTTTTGCCAAGAAATTCTTGTCAATCAAACAGACATTTTTTCAAAAAGATGGAAAATGGTTTCCAATTCCATGGAAAAAGAGCCCTATCAAACAGGGCCTTAGCGTTTGTTAGTTGACAAGTTTCAAACTAAGTTGAGGGATTTAATTAAGTTGCTATAATTTGTATTGTACAACTGACAAACTACTATTTTGTGCTGCAAGTGGAGTGACGAGTCTGTTAACTTCAATTGGTTTTGTGGTAACAATTTTGCAATCAGCCTCTTCTAATCAATGTCTGCATTTGATAAGGTTGTTCTTCTTTCTGTGATACTTCAGACGTTGAGGAATTTTTGCAGGACTCCTTTGTGATCATCCCGGTTTCAGCTGCATATCTTTTGTTCCTCTTCTTCATATGCGAATGCCAATAGTTTTTTATGTCGTTGTCTGTTCTTCCTGGAACCTTAGATGCTATGGCTGACCACCTTTATTTACAATCACAATATATATTTATTCCATTAGCTAACAGTTGATAACAGCAAAAGCTAATATTAATTATGTGATACTTAAATTGAGGATTATTATTTTGCACCTGTTTCCAAGTTTGGCATGAAGTTGGATGATAAGATCTTCTTCCTCTTTTCTATAGTTTCCTCTTTTCACTCCAGGCTTGAGGTAATTCACCCACTGTAGTCTGCAACTTTTTCCACATCTCGCTAAACCTGAGAGATCATACAATCCCATAAGTGTAATACATAAACAACTGAAATCTTGATCAAAATTGGTTGATGAATATATCAGTCTTTCCCTTCTCTTAATTACACCAATTTCGATTGAAGGAAAGTTTCGTGAAATTGTTAACAACTTTCTTTTAATTCTACTATATTAGTTTTCTGGAAAAGGAGGATGAAAGGCAGTTCTTATCGGCATATTTGGGCATCTATCACCAATTCTAGACACCATATCCCTGAATATAGGCTCTTCATTTGTTATCTTCTTCTTCACTCCAGACATCATATCTCTGAATATAGGCTCTTAATTTTATGTCTAAACTCACAACAAAGCAGGACATAATGATTTCCAGATCCACGTCTACAAATTTACCCTAAGATATTCCGCGATGTCCTTCTCATCAACATGACATATTAACTTATCCTTATCACACACACGTATAAACACCAGCATGTAGATAAGCAACACTGAAATGTGTATGTATGGAATCTTGGCTTTCTCGTAGTTAATAATGTGCTTTGAGAAATTAACACTAAAATGTGTATGTATGGCAGGGAAGGTGTATGTATTGTTTTGTTAGCGTCTTCAATACTTTGGACGAAACTTTTCTATTCTCTTAGTGAGCCACTCCATGAGAACCCTACAAGTGTCATTACTGAATATAAAACGGCACTTGTACCGTTCTGCCTCTAAACACACTCATAAAGAGACACGACCCGTCCGAAGCACGGTAATTGATAAGCTGAATGTTTTTGGGAGTTTCTTGATACATGATCTTTGGTTGTTTTCTCTTGATATGTCGTGATGTCTTCTAGTTGTTTTTTCATATCTAACAATACTATTTCGTCTTTATACATGGAGAATGTTCAGATACTGTCCATTGTCCATTTGCCTTTTTCTGTCTTGTTAAACTCAACAAAATAGCATAATTGTACCCATATCATTTCTACAGAATCGATAACTGTAAATAAAATAAAAAAGTTAAATGGTTTACTCAAATATATATCAAAGTAATATGAAAATAACTATCATATTTAAATTATCAAAATAACCACATTGTATTATCAAGAACGAATAAACCATAATCAAACATATATAAAAGTAATATGAAAATAGCCATTATATTTAAATTATCAAAGTGACCACATTGTATTATCAAGAACGGACAGACCATAACCGATATTGTTTGTATTGTCATTTTACATGGACGATAACGACTGTATTGTCATTCTACATAACGTAAAAAAGTTGGAGTATGTTCTGTATCGTCCAATAGTTGTGGAAATACACGAACTGTGAAAAAAAAAGCTAAAATATCATTTCATACTATATTAAACAATAAAAATGATCAATGTACATGAGATTTATAAAAATACTTTTTTCTCTTCTTCAAATATAATGGAGATTTCCATGTAGATAATATAAAAACTAAAATTCTTATTCAAATGCTCAAAATGTTGGAGAAGATAGGTGAGAAATATTATCAATAAAAAGATTTTAGGAGACGGCAAACTTTGGAGATGAAGAGCACGTTGAATATTTTTTTTTTGGTGACTGCCTGCCAAGGCGAAACCCCAACTCATCTTATCCACACTTCCCCGCAAAAACATAATTACAACAACATGAGTGTGGCTCACGTGGGTTTTCTGGAGTTGGTGAAGACTGAATTTGGCCATCCCCAAAGTTGGGCATCACCATCTTCACATTTGGGGAGTGATGATTCCAATTTGGGGGAGAAGTCTGCTAGCGTCAATGCCATGTTACGGGGGAGTGTGTAAGAAAGAACAATAGTTGGCACGCTATGTAATCAGTAATAATTCTAGATCTAAAGACGTCGACGACAGTGAAAGCAACGGGAAGTAATATTTAGCCTATGTTTGTCTTCCATTAAAGAGGTTTTTTTTTTTTTTTTGAAAAAATGAGTATTGTAATAACGATTTTTTGGAGAGCAAAAAAAGTTTTGAATTTACGCGCATTTGATGGCCATTATTTGACTAAAATAATATTTAAAATAGTGATTTTTAGGAGAATCTGTGGTTAAAAAGTATAAAAGAATTTGAGTTTACGTGTAAAATATTTTATTATATGAATGTGTGGTTGAAAATGAGTTTAAAAAAAAAAAAGAAATTTGATTTAATGGAAGACAAACAGGAAACTTCTTCATGGAATCTATAATTCTACTGAGATGGCTAGCATAAGAATTAAAATATCTATATTTTTCTTAAAATTTAGCATTATAAATCTTTTTAATTTTTTATGAAATGTTACAAGTAATATCACAATGCTAATCAATGAATAATTGTGACAATATGAGTTCTAATTGACAAGTGATGAAATGCATTTGAGATAGTAGTAAGAACTGCCACGAAAATGAAGGGTGAGTTTGGTCTGCTGTTTTCAAGTTTTTTTTTAATTTTTAATTTTGTAAAATATTGGAAACGTGTTTGATTCGTTATTTTTGAAAATGTATTTTCGAAAACAAAGATACATTTATGACGTTTTGAGTGTTTTCAGTGAAAATTTTGAAAATATGAAAAACAAGCGTTTAAATAAAATTATAAAAAATTAAAATTCAAGAAATAGTTTTTTAAAAAAAAAATTAAAACTAAAACTATGAAAAAATAATGTTTATAAAAAATTCTAAAAAAAAAAAACAAAAATAGTTCTTGCTCTTAATGATTATTTACATAATAAATTTTAAAAAATTATTTAAATCAACACAGACAAAAATATTTTATGTCCACGCATTAGTTTTATTTTTATTTCCTATTTTTTGAAATTAATTTTTTATTTCTTAGTGAGAAAAAATATTATAAAATTCACTAACTTTAAAATGTATATAATATTTAATATATTAACTTAAAATTGTTCTTTTTTTTTTTTACTGAACAAACAAATTTAATGAAATAAAATGTAATAAAATGATTTTTCAAAATTTCAAATCAAACGTGTTTTTTTGTTTTGAGAAATAATTTTTCAAAATGACAAATCAAACGTTTTTTTCAAAATTTTAAAACAGAACCTCAAAACTGAAACAGGAAATGAACTTAAAACTAAAAATCGAAACACAATTTAAACGGACCCGAAATTTTTGAACATTACAATCCAATTCAATTGGGGAATCTGGCCAGACGGCTGGGTTCAACTAATAATTTGGACAAAAGGCATTTGACTCATGTTTCAAAATAATAATAATAATGTAATAAAATGGTAAAATGACAAAATTGCCCTTCACCTATTTAACTCAAAATTCACCATTTTTCCCCTAATTTCACCACTGTAAAACCCGTCTCCATTTTTTGAAATTTCCCGGCTTCTTTCTTCCCTCTCCATCACCTTTAAACCGCCTCTAAACAATCCCCAAATCGAGGTAATCCAAGCTCTTACTCGTCATTGTTGACTACTCGAAGAGCCCAACCCAAGCATGAATAAGCAACAACCATTTGATTTCAGAAGTCTGAGCAAGAAGTTCGAGCAAGGAGTCGTTGGAAGGAGGTAAATTAGAACACTTTTATTTTACCTTTCTTTCGTAGTCATATTTGTAGTGCGAAGATGATTTTTGTGGGTTGGTATGATTTCAGTGGATTGTTGCATACAAATATTAGGTATGCTTTCACTATATTAGTTTCAAGTTTTCCGCTCTTCCGCTTCTACTTGCACCTTATGTAACTTAGTGTTTGTTAGTTGACAAGTTTCAAACTAAGTTGAGGGATTTAATTAAGTTGCTATAATTTGTATTGTACAACTGACAAACTGCTATTTTGTGCTGCAAGTGGAGTGACGAGTCTATTAACTTCAATTGGTTTTGTGGTAACAATTTTGCAATCAGCCTCTTCTAATCAATGTCTGCATTTGATAAGGTTGTTCTTCTTTCTGTGATACTTCTGACGTTGAGGAAGTTTTATAGGACTCCTTTGTGATCATCTTTCTTTTGTTCCTCGTCTTCATATGCGAATGCCAATAGTTTTTTATGTCGTTGTCTGTTCTTCCTAGAACCTTAGACGCTATGGCTGACCACCTTTATTTACAATCACAATATATATTTATTCCATTAGCTAACAGTTGATAACAACAAAAGCTAATATTAATTATATGATACTTAAATTGAGGATTATTATTTCGCCACCTATTTCCAAGTTTGGCATGAAGTTGGATGATAAGATCTTTTTCCTCTTTGCTATAGTTTCCTCTTTTCACTCCAGGCTTGAGGTAATTCACCCACCGTAGTCTGCAACTTTTTCCACATCTCGCTAAACCTGAGAGATCATACAATCCCATAAGTGTAATACATAAACAACTGAAATCTTGATCAAAATTGGTTGATGAATATATCAGTCTTTCCCTTCTCTTAATTACACCAATTTCGATTGAAGGAAAGTTTCGTGAAATTGTTAACAACTTTCTTTTAATTCTACTATATTAGTTTTCTGGAAAGGAGGATGAAAGGCAGTTCTTACCAACATATTTGGGCATCTGTCACCAATTCCAGGCACCATATCCCTGAATATAGGCTCTTAATTTGTTATCTTCTTCTTCACTCCAGACACCATATCTCTGAATATAGGCTCTTAATTTTATGTCTAAACTCACAACAAAGCAGGACATAATGATTTCCAGATCCACGTCTACAAATTTACCCTAAGATATTCCGCGATGTCCGTCTCATCAACATCACATATTATCTTATCCTTATCACCCACACGTATATACACCAGCATGTAGATAAGCAACATTGAAATGTGTATGTATGGAATCTTGGCTTTCTCGTAGTTAATAATGTGCTTTGAGAAATTAACACTAAAATGTGTATGTATGGCAAGGAAGGTGTATGTATTGTTTTGTTAGCGTCTTCAATACTTTGGACGAACCTTTTCTACTCTCTTAGTGAGTCACTCCATGAGAACGCTACAAGTGTCATTACTGAATATAAAACGGTACTTGTACCGTTCTGCCTCTAAACACACTCATAAAGAGATACGACCCGTCCGAAGCACGATAATTGATAAGCTGAATGTTTTTGGGAGTTTCTTGATACATGATCTTTGGTTACTTTCTCTTGATATGTTGTGATGTCTTCTAGTTGTTTTTTCATATCTAACAATACTATTTCGTCTTTATACATGGAGAATGTTCAGATACTGTCCATTGTCCATTTGTCTTTTTCAGTCTTTTTAAACTCAACAAAATAGCATACTTGTACCCATATCATTTTTACAGAATCCATAGCTGTAAATAAAATAAAAAAGTTAAATAGTTTACTCAAATGTATATCAAAATAATATGAAAATAGCTATCATATTTAAATTATCAAAGTAACCACATTGTATTATCAAGAACGGACAGACCATAATANGAAGCCGGAAACCATATCTTACCAGTTGCATCTGTGCGATTTGTGGCTGCTCCTCCGAGTCACCCATCGACGCCGATGGGCGATGGTACGTGAAGTTGGTGGGTATGGTGCCGGTGGGCCAATGGGCGAAAAGCGTTCTGTGGGTATGGTGGCTGTACTTTCGGTGGGTATGGTGGTAGCGCAGAGAGAAGCCCCTTTCCACGCCGCCGTTAAAGTGAGAGAGAGAGACTGGAGAGAGATGAGTGAGAGACGTGAATTAGCTAGCCAATTAGGGTTGAATATTAATTTAGGTGTATATATTTTAAGTTTCATAATATTATTATTAGTATTTAATTAAATATAAAAAAATCTGGATCTATATATAAAATATCTGATTTTTGAAACTTAAACCTTAAAATCTGATTTTGGAATTTGAATCTCCAAAAGTAGGGAATTGGGTAATTTTCACTAAATTCAATCCCAACACATGCCCAATACGATGTTGAGATAGCGTTCGTTACGCGGTGGGTACTCATTGCGAGCAATAATGGTATTCCCTTTCATCCATCCATCTGTCATCTCAAGCCAGACCGCTTTTGGAATTAACGATGTTATTTATGTCCGTTGGAGTCGACCAAATAAAAACAAACAAGGGCAAATCAGTACTTTGAACCACATCATTGAATTGATTTGAATTGAATTACCAGTCAGACCTCTCCGACGATATTTTCCATTAGAATCTGCGTGTTTTACGCGTTGGACAAAATATTTTCCTGAGGGAGAAGGAAAATGAGCAGGTACAAAAAGTTCCCATTCTTGTGCAAACTGCACGCATCTATAATAATAATTTATAAATATAAACAATAATTTCAACATGTCTCAGATCTCTCAGCACCATATTGAATTGATCAATTTTACATTCACTTTCTGCATTTCCATCTCCTATTCTTCCCTTCAACAGGTTTTTTCATTTTTCCCTTGTGCTTTTATTCGATCAGGTTATGTGGGATGGTTTTCACGCGATCTGTTATTAGTATTATTATATTTTTGTAGAAACTATTTTGAGTGCGATCCCTGCAATTCAATGTTGCCTAGTTCGTATTTGGATTATTTTAATCTTTTGAGTTGAATTATTTTGGTTTATATGCAGTATCTTGGAAGCCCGGAAGGAAAAAAAAAAAAGAGGGGTGGGGGGAATTGAAAGAAGAATGAGAAACTGAATATTGTAGAGCTCTCTGTATGATCATTGTGAAATTAAGCATTTATTTTTGGCTATCTGCTGCTGGTGGAAATTGTTATGGTTTCCTGAATTGCTTCATTTTAAAATGTGTCGTATCTTTTCTCGAATTTTATACCGAAATATAGTCATTTTATTGAGTTGAAGTAACCAATGCCATCAATCTACTGAAGGAGGAAAAAAAATGCATTGTTTAGTTTAGGGTAATCTGTCGTTCCTATTTTATGTATATATAAATATTTTTACTCCTGGTCCAAAAACTCTTCATTGTGATTTTAATCGTGAATCGTGATCGACTATCTCTGTTTTGATAGTATCTGAATGTAGGTCACTTGTCTAATAGTTAGGACTCAAATATTCAAATTAGTAGTCACTACTGAGAATTGTGAGTCAATATAAAATCAAAACCCGACAACCAATCAGTCATAATTCTGTTATACTCAGTGCTTTGATATGATTCATGTGACTTATTTATGTTGCGTACTACATCAAATTGATACCAATCATTGTTGTTGGTATATGTTTTGAGAGGTAATATCTGCAGGAGCTTCATTCGTATTTTGCAGGGCTTGAGTTCTTGAGTTTTTGTTTTTATTTGTTGGTAACTTATCATTATTCTAATGTTATATTGCTGCCATTTTACTGCCGTGTTGTAGACGTTTCTTATTTCTTTTGGTACCTTATATATTGATGTTTCTCTACCATCAGGTTTCTTCTGCAGAGTTTGCTTCTCTCTGGATATTATGAAGGTTCTGATCAAGAGTTGAAAGCATTGTGAAGAATTCCATTCATGATGATTGACTTCAGTATTCCACTTGTGAGATTGTTAGCTAGTTCGAACTTTGATGCTGGCTATACTTTTGGATGGCTGCTTATGGGATCCTTGGGAGTTTTTGTTCTTACATATGCGTACCTCATATGGCAGAGAAAGACATCACTTAAATGGGTTAAAGCTGCTGCTAGAGCGAAGAAACAAGCATGGAAGAAGCTTAAAGTTCCCCTATCACGTCATACATGGATCGAAGATGTTGCTACTGGTGGGCAGCCATCCACCTGCTGTGTTTGCCTAACTTCCCTCTTGTCTCCACAAACCTTAGGAAAAAAAACCACATCACATTCTCCACTACACCGTTGTTCTGTTTGTGGTGTTGCAGCTCACTTTCGGTGTTCGCATTTTGCAGCAAAAGATTGCAAATGTGTAGCACAAGCTGGTTATGGCCATGTCCAGCACCATTGGTCCGAAAGATGGAATAACCTGGATGACATTCCTGAGATGTCTGCATTTTGTTTTTACTGTGACGAACCTTGTGGAGTTCCTTTTATTGATGTATCTCCGACATGGCATTGCTTATGGTGTCAGCGCCTCATACATGTTAAGTGCCATGCCAAAATGTCCGAAGAATCCGGTGATGTTTGTGATTTGGGTCCTCTTAGAAGAGTCATTCTTTCTCCCCTCTGTGTGAAAGATCTTGAAAGTGAGACATTAAGTTCTGTTACGGATGAAATCATTACATCTTTAGGCCGTGGGCAGATTAGGAGAAAGCGCCACCGGAACAGACATGGAAGTAACCGATATATCAATGGCAAGGTACAAGGAAGTTCTGCTACCAAAAGAGCACTGCAATATGTGCTAAATGGTCTTGTTGGTCTTGGTCTCTTGAAATCCAGTAATGAGAAAAACGATGATAAATTTTTTGAGGCTAGCAACCTAATTGATCAGAAAGGCGGTCTGAAAGGGCTGAAGCATAAGAAAGATGAAAGTGCTGTTTGTGGAAAATCTAAGAAGTATACTCTAGTAGATTTGTCTTCTGATGCAAGACCTCTCCTGGTCTTCATAAATGCCAAGAGTGGAGCTCAAAATGGACGTCTCCTTCGAAGAAGATTGAACATGATATTGAATCCTGTACAGGTGAAATTTTGGACATTCTGTAGAGACTAGCTTCTGATTGCTTTTATATCCATGTCATTTTCTCGTTGGAATACAGAAGAACTGTAACTAATTAGGGAAAATATAGGTTAACAATTTTCAATCGTGTAAGAAAACCTTGCTTGCCTTTATGCTGAATCATGATGACTTGAATATGTGCATGACAGCATTATGCATATTCATATGGAACTTTATGTGGATTTTGCAGGAAAAAAATGTTCTTTTTGTGCTTTAAACTAGTAAAACCAATGCCGTCTTGCTTTATAATGATTCTTAAAGATCTTAACAAGGTGTACTGGTCACATACATGTGTGACTTGTCAGACTTGGAACTTGGTTTTTACTCCACATTATATTCTGTTCACTTTCAACGGGAAGTTGCATCCTTTACTTAAGTGTACACTATACAGGCCTTTTTTGCTTATTTCAGTGACTTTTGTTGCAGGTATTTGAACTTGATTCCTCTCAAGGACCTGAGGCTGGTTTAGAGCTGTTTGCTAATGTGCAATATTTTAGAGTTTTGGTCTGTGGAGGTGACGGGACTGTGGCCTGGGTTCTTGATGCAATCGAAAGGCATAATTTTGAATCACCTCCACCTGTTTCCGTTCTTCCTTTAGGAACGGGAAATGATTTGTCAAGGGTTCTTCACTGGGGAGGGGGCTTCTCAACTGTTAAAGGACAAGGTGGTTTAAGCACTTTTTTGCATGACATAAGCCATGCAGCAGTTACAATGCTTGATCGCTGGAAAGTAAACATAACTGAAGAAAAGTCTGGCGGTGAACCTAGCGAAGTGCAATCAAAGTTCATGATGAATTACTTAGGTAATTGCCTGTTTATTTTCCTTGGGCTTCTTCCTAGTCAAGTTACAAGAATGAATTCCTGTCCACAATTTCCTGAAAGTTCCATCACTTCCCAGAGACGCTTAAATAGCTTTGCTCATTTCGCGTGGAGAATAATGTTATAAATTGTTTTCTTGTAATCATCTAATTCGTTTTAATTGTGGTTAGACTCCAATAATCTCAAGCTGCTTTATTATAGGTATTGGATGTGATGCAAAGGTTGCATATGAATTCCACACAAGTAGGGAAGAAAATCCTGGAAAGTTTTACAGTCAGGTAAGAATTTCCTACCTCAGTCATCCGTTTTTTTCTTTTGAATATTACATATATGCAATTTCCTTGTGCTAGAAACTCTTGTCCTTCTATTTGCTGCATATTCCTCACATGTAGCTTTTTTAAGTCTTGGAACAGTTTGTGAATAAATTGAGATATGCAAGAGAAGGTGCCAGGGACATCATGGACAGAGCTTGTGCTGACTTACCATGGCAAGTTTGGCTTGAAGTAGACGGGAAATGTATCCAAATTCCAAAGGTATATGAGTTGTCTAACCAGGACCATCTAGGAATATATTCCTTCTTTTATTTTTAAAATTGTTTCTTAATGTTATCTTTTTTCTAATGCTGCATTTAGGGCACCGAGGGCTTGATTGTGCTAAATATCGGTAGCTATATGGGTGGAGTTGACCTTTGGCAGAACGATTATGAGCATGATGATAATTTCAATCATCAGTACATACATGACAAAATGCTGGAAGTTGTCTGCGTTTCGGGATCATGGCATCTTGGCAAACTTCAGGTCAGAATTCATCTTCTATCTGTTTCTTAGATTACTTCTAATTACAGGGTTATCGAGTGTAAGGAAAAAAATCACCCAAATGCACAACGAATGCAGTTAAAAAGTTGAAACATAAAACGAGCAAAAGAGAGAAGGAAATTAACTCAACAGACGTCAAAATACATGAATTTCCCAACTCTCTCAATTTCTCCCTACACAAGGCATGCTCAATTCACAAAGTATGCATGAGCTTAACTTTAATTCTCTTTCGCTCCCTAGCCTTTTCTCTCCTTGCTCACCTCTATGGCTGAGGCCAGTGATTTAAGAAATTACTGTTCATGAACTTGTTTAAAACATGGACAGTACAGCATGTGGTGTCTTTGGATGCATGATTTTATCTTGATACCTGCAGATGGCAAGTTTTATTCCCCTTTTCAAGGATATACAAATGAATATATGTAACCTTTGGATTGCATAAACTGGATAGAAACGAATAGAAATCGATATTTTCAAGCGTGTTAATTATGTTCACTCTTATGGTATAATTCTGTGCAGCCTTATGAGGTATAAGGTTGTGAGAAGTTCTAACTTACTACTTTTTCTGTTGTGTAGGTAGGACTTTCACAAGCCAGGAGGCTAGCTCAAGGGGGAATCGTTAGGATACACGTTTCCAGTCCTTTTCCTGTCCAAATTGATGGGGAGCCTTTTATTCAGCAACCGGGATGTTTAGAAATAACGCATCACGGACAGGTATCTGATTGATGATTGCTGATACAGTAATTGATGTTGATGTAGTTTATGATTTCCCTACCTGTATAGTCTGAAGATATAGTGTTCTGGAGAATATGAGATGCTAAAGTTCTTGAATTAGACTTCAAATTCTTTCAGAATGTGTACGAGAAACTAGCATTACAAAGTGACAGCAATATATTGATTTATATCCATCATATTTGCTGGGTTCATTGTGTTGACCTTTTCAGGATAGGCTTTAAGCACAGCCAGATATTGAGTGTCAAAGTTTTACCTTTCTTAGTGAAAAAGTGTGTTGCCATTAGTTATGAAAAGTATATGCAATATGGTCAATGACCATGGCATTGATATCAACTTGACCAATACTTCAACATTGCCTTGAAGAAAAATTATAATGAATAATTTCCACGTGTACGCACACACAATATGGAAATCTGAAATTACTTTTGGATTTATTGCCGTTAAAAATGATTTTCTAATTGTCCCATCATGTGAAATTTTGAACTCAGCATGTATGGTATACCCGTTTAAGTTTTGTTCAGTCAAAATGTTCCTTTTTTGCACTTTGCTATTTTATAGTCACGAGCTAAAAAAATAGTGCATTAAAGATATAATGCTGATCTTCGTCAATACTTATTTTAGTAAAACTTAAATGTGGAGAGACACTTTGTCCATGATGGAATTGACTTTTTTGTGTCATCGTATTGCTCATTTTTATTTATTTATTATTATTATTATTTTTGTTGTTGTTGTTGTTGTTGTGGGCATACGAGACTGAAATCTCCTCCTTCCTTATTAGGTGTTTATGTTGCGGAGAGTGTCAGGAATGGACGGACCGAGAGGTCACGCGGCTGCCATAATGACCGAGGTTTTGGCTGACGCCGAGTGTAAAAGTGTTATCAATGCATCCCAAAAGAAGCTACTTCTTCAGCAGATTGCCCTCCAGCTTTCTTGATTTTCTGAACTATTCATTCCTCACATTTTTGACATTGACTTACAGAGATTTTGCTAACTGCTCATAGTTAACAAAAATGGCTTATCAGGCAAGAGAAAATCTTGTCTGTGTGTGAGAGTAAAACGACAGATTTAGGGATATGCTCTCAGGTTGAAAAGAGTGATACAGTACATTATGAGATCAGATTCTATGGAGAGATGTAGAAAGATGAGACTGGACTGTGTTTTTTGGGATTGAATCCCTTTCACCGGCAATATATGATTTAGCACTTTGGTGTATATTTGATGTGCAGTTGTAGATAGGATTTGAACAGTACAATGAAAAAAAAATTTAATTTCTTTTTCTTCTCGAATAATTGTAAAATCTTATAGAGGCAATCCTATTAAATGAGTACAATTTTGATGTTTTTGATCTTATTTATTAACATCACCTATTTGGAGGGATTTTTTTTTCTCAAATCATATGAAGTTTCATAATATCAGCCTCATTGCGCCCTGTGCGACCTTCACTCGTTGGATTGAGCGTGGAGGATGAAAGGAAGTTTAAGTTGAAATTAATGGTCGAGTTGACTGGGAAAATTTTTTTGACAAAGAAACATAAAATTATTTTCCATAAGGTATTTGGGATGATTAGGTCCATTTATCAGCTTGGCTTCGTCTCGAAACAAGTAGGCATTTTGGCGGATGCATGCATGTAGAAAGGTTGATATTACGTAAGCTAAAAGTCTACGACTACGAGACAAGCTAGAAGCGGCTTGCATCTATTCTTGTTGGCATTGAATATAGATGGGGAATTTATAGATCGTAGCAGTTCATCAATCTCTCTAACTAACATCCGATACAATTTCACTTCATGGCATGACAAAAAAAAAAAAGCTTTGCTCGTCGGCCTTCCTACGTTGACGATTGCCTCTTTTCTCTTCTCCGAGGTCTACAATAAACAAGTGGGAGAGAGGATTTGAACCCATGTAGAAAAACTTCAATAAATTTATCAATCATGCTATAAGTATAAGAAATTTTGACAGACAACATATGGCGTTGAATCGTTGGAAAATGGGAAGAGAGAAAAATAGACCAATCATGCATCGCCACGTCAATGTCAAAATGAATTATGTCAACTTTTTTCTGTACTCGTGGCTTTTTCCTAAATTTATAGTTTGTGGCTTTTGCCAAGTAACACTATAGTTGTGAACGTAAGAAAAAATATTTTTGTGTTACCACTCCTACTTACTCCGTTGCTTTGAATGGTAGCATACATGGTTTTTTCAAATGGAGGAAAGGCTTACGGCAAGGTGAGCTACTTTCACCATTCTTGTTTGTTTTATGTATTGAATATCTTTCAAGAATGCTAAAGGTTGCTACTAATGAGAGTGATTTCAACTACCATCCCAAATGTGGCCCGTTAAAGATTATACACCTTGCGTTCGTGGATGATTTAATGTTTTTTGCAAAGGGAGATGTCATGTCGGTGGAAATCTTGATGAATTGTCTAACAACTTTGGGAATGCATCGGGATTAAGGATGAATAACCTTAAATCCAACCTCTTTACAGCTGGTATACATGGGATTGAACTTGATGAAATCCAAGAAATTACCAACATTCTGAAGGGTATAATGCCCTTTCGATATTTGGACATTCCACTTGCTTCCGTGAAATTAAAAGTAAGTTGTTATGCTCTTTTTTTGGATAAAATTATAGCTTATATTAGTTCTTGGACGTGTTCTTCTTTGTTCTATGCGGGGAGAGCAGAATTGGTTAAAGCGGTGCTTTAAGGAGTCGAATGTTTTTGGCTTTCTTTGCTCCCCCATTACTGCTATAATCATTTCTAGAATCACTTTGTCGTAACTTTCTTTGGGGCTCTAAGAAGCCTTTGGTTTAGGGCTGTCCGTGGGTCAGTTCGATTCGATTCTGAAGAGACCCGAACCGACCCAAAACTTTCGAATATTTAATAAATGGATCCGTCGGATCCAAATATAATTATGGAACCGTTCGGATGGAACTGTTCGGGTTCGGTTCCGTTCGGTTCCGTACCATAATTAAATTTTTTAATATTTTCAACAATCCTACTTAAATACAACTAATGACATTTCATTCGTAACTTTTACAAATTAACGTAGCCCAGTTTAAAAATATATACATAATTAGTCATCCAATAAGATTAATTCAATGCATATAAATACCAAAAGTAGATATTAATATTACATCAAAACTATATAAAGTATATTCATTTGTTTCAAAGTAAAATGGGCTAATGGATTTTAAAAATGATTTGAGCTTTAAAATTAAAATTATGAAATAATCTAATTTATTTAATTAATTTGCTAATTTGTATAGAAAAAAATAAAATAATTTAATTAATTCAATATAAAAAATAAAAAAATTATTTAGTTTCGATTCTTATTCGGTTATTCGATTCTTGGTCTAGACCCGAGACCCGACCCAAACCCATCGATTCTCAATTCGGGTACCCGTTCGGGTATTTAATTTATGAAAAACCGTTCGATTCGGTTCAGTTCGGTTCGGTCCGGGACTTTTGGACACTCCTACTTTGGTTGCGTGGAGGGATGTTTGCTTACCGAAGGTAGAAGGTGGTTTGGGCTTTAGAGATTTAAAAAACTAGAATTATGCTCTACTTGCAAAATTGTCGTGGAATATTTACCATAAAAATGATACTTTGTGGATTCGTTGTGTTGATCAATTTTGCCTTAGAGGAGCTAGTAGCATTTGGGAGGTCTCAACTTTAAAAGATCACTCACTACTCTTCAAAAAATTGCTAAAAATTAGAGATACACATGGGCAGATTTTTGCACATGAAAGGGGCGACCAACCCCTTTAAATTCACAACAACAGATTTTTAGCGGGATTTCTTGGCGAAATGGGGATAAATTTTGTGTAAAGAAGGCATATGATTTTTTTCGACCTAAGGAGGATGCCAAGTGTTGGGCAAAGGATGTTTGTAAACATTTCATCACTCTGAAATACTCTTTTATGTTATGGTTGGGAGTCCAATCAAAGTTACTCATCAAAGACAAATTGCATTACTTGGATATTGATCGGAATTGTGTTCTTTATGTTTCACATGAAGAAATATGTCATCACCTATTTTTTAAATGTCACTTCTCTTCAAGTGTTTGAAAGAGCATTAAAGAGTGGTTGGGCATTACAAGAGCTATGATTATCATGGCTAGTGTACTAAAGTGGATAAAGAAGGAAGTTAGAGGAACCTCATGTTGAAACAAAGCTAAAAGGATTGCTTTAGCTAGCTCCATCTAATACATTTGGATAGCTAGAAATATAATGATTTTTGAAAATTTGAAATTCCACGAGACTATTGTATGACGATTCAAAACAAACGTATACAAGATGATATATTCTTTTTATTCTAATGTTTTGATTTGTTACGAGTCTTTAGCGATGTTGTATCATTTGCTTTGATTGATTACCAGGGTATGTTCAGAGTAGTTGTATTTTCATCGAAACTTCATTGTTGATTAATCCGCGTATGCCTAGAGTATCTCACTATAATTAATATAATCCATTTTACCGTCTCAAAAAAATAAAAGAAAAGAAAATGGGTAGTTAGGAGGGAGAAACCCCACCAATTTGAGTTAGGAGCGTTTGAAGAGGCTCCCAAGGACATCCAAGCCACCGATTCTTCCATGAATTTATCGCCTAATTTGGCCAAGCTGCAAGTATAGAGCCCACGATCTGAACATATGGTGTCTATTTGTCCAATTCTCGATTGGACATAATTAAATAGGTTTTCGTATTAACAATGAAACCATTTGGAATAGCATTATTCTAGATTTTTTGTGTTTTTCTTTCCTTTCTTCTTCTTTCTGATAACAAAATTCTCACCGTTTTCTGATGTCAGTTCCAAGTTCCAACTCTTTAAAGTGCAAAATGGAGTGTGGTGGTACTACTAGTGAAGCGCAAGCCACTGCTTTCCGATGCGTACAATGCGGGATCCCAATTAAAACACTCTACGTACAGTACTCTCCCGGAAACATTCGTCTCATGAAATGCGTAATCAATGATTTCCTTAAAGTTTCCATTACTTGTGATCAATTAGTTCACTTTTAATTACTCAATGATTCTTCTTATATTCTTAATTTTTTTTTAGGAAAATTGCAAAGCTGTTGCTGATGAGTACATCGAATGTGAAATCATGGTAATCCAAGAAACTTGCTGGAGAACAAGATTTCTATTCTTTATTTACTTTAATTAATACTATGTTTTAATTTTCTGTTGTTTTGTTTTGTAGATTCTTATAATTGATTTAATTCTTCACAAGCCCAAAGCGTACAGACATTTATTCTACAATATGTTCAGTAAAGAGACTCTCAATCATGAGGTATATTTCCTTTTTTATTTCTTTTTTAAACGGTTGCTTGAAGTTAATTGTTTAGACAGATCTGATATATCAAGTGAGTTGTACATATTAGCTTATAATGGTTATTTGTATGCAGGGCTTGTTATGGAAATCAATTTTGGGCTTCCTGATTTTGGATGCTTGTATCCATTCATTAATCACTATATATTACTTATTAATAATCTTCTCTGACTCTCACTCACTCCCTCACACACAAACACTTGCAGATCCACGGGATAACTATTTACTGTCATATGGTTTAATATATACTTGTGATGCATATGGATACCCTAAGCTGTTTTAGATGGAACTTTGGTCTTGAGCACATATGAAAGGGAGTCGAATGCCAATGTCACTTCATTATTGTGGGATTTCGGAAAGGTTTGCACTTCATTAGTTGGAGTTTTAATTTTTTTTCCTTTCATCTCATAAATAATGGGGATGATTTCAAAATTTCACCCTGTTTTGATGGAATTGATTGCTATTTGTAGATGTTTGCAGGTGTCTTCTTTCGGAACCTCGTGTTTTTCTGTGTTATGTTTCTCGGAGCAAGAAAGTTTTTGAATTCACCAGCTGGATTATATGGGTAAACATTTCTTGACTGTACTTAAGTGCTGGAATACATACCACACAAACGGTATTTTCTGTCTTTTGTCTTTCCCCACCATTATCTTTAAGAAAGAAACAGATAGTGCAAGATATGAATATATAGTGGTTTGCCAAATTTATTGTTCCCAGTTGTTAGTGAAACTCAATTTGTAACAAACAAACGGATAAGTTATTTGCTTGTGGTTAAGGGTTCTTTGGCACTTCAAATATGCTTTAGATGTAGGTTTTAATGTGAGTGGTACAAGAGCTCTCTGTTGCAATCCGTTTTCATGCTAAAACACTAAATCTTTTATGGTGCATATTTTACTAGAAAAATTTGTATATTCAGTGCATGCAACGTGATGTCTACATATTTATTGCAGTTCATTAATATGGCGATATATTGTTTGCTCGCATCACCATATATCAATTATATATTAATTGTACACTCATGTTATCACCTTCATTGTAGTATCTGGCTCAACTGAACTTTTGACACCCATATTGAGATATCTATTGTTCGCTATGAATTGTATAGATCGTGGTTAAATTTTGTGAAATAGTCATTTCAATACTCTTGTGCTTTATGATCACTACGTAGTGGTTAAAGAATAACTGCTGAACTGACCGCAGACTAGGTGATAAACACATTAGTAGAATTTAGTTAAGTGAATTAGGATGAGAATTTTGTATTTCAAGTAACAAAGCAAGGGTGACATCATAATGCATTAATCATTTTGTGGAAGATGTGATGACCGAGAGCACCTGACCAAATGTATGGCTTTGACAAAAAATAGCATCTCAAAGTAGTTTGTTTATCAAACATTTACAAGATTTTGAGATCTCGTTGAGTTTCCGATTTTTCTGACTTTCTAATAAGCCTATTATTCTTTTTTCGAGAAAAAGGACTGTAAAAATCAATTTGATTTTCCTCTCAACTTTACAGGTGTAAAGATATATTGCTGGGGATCCTTGTTTCAAGTTACTTTAAGATTTTTCTTGTGGCCACAATGGTATGTTTCTTATTGATACTTGGTTATATAAAAAATTCTCGTAGTAACATAAGCTTTATGTCTTATAACTTTTCCCTAAGATTATACTTGTACTTCCTCTTCTGCTTTGACCTCCATAACTCATGTGACAAGTACTATCTTGATGGATATATTATATGTATTGTTTATCTTATGAACTATTTTAATATGGAGTTTACATTTCATAGGTATGGGACTTTCCTTCCTCCGTGATTTTCATCATTGATCTGTTTGTCATATCATCCAATACTGTGGCTTTAGAAGGTGAGAAATATGGAATTTTATACGTTTCAACCCTGATAGTATGCTAGTACTAGACTTCTCCCACTGGGATACTTAGTATTATAGGCTTCTCTCTTATTGGGGGTCAGGTAGGGGATCCATTAACATCAACCAAGGGGTTTTGGGCTATCTCACTTGAATATGAATAGAGGGTTTGGGTATTTTATGTAGGTCACAATTGAACAAGAACAAATTGAGAAAGAAAGAGGAAGAGAGAAGAGAGAGAAAAGAAGAGGGCAATTTATTCCTTATCAAACTTCTGTCTTATTACAAAGCATAAACCAGTTTATATGGCGTTTAAACTAGTTAATTTAGGTAAGAAACATCTAACAGAAGACTAGAGAACCTATTAAATTTAGGTAAGAAACAACTACTGATATACTAGAGAATGTAAACCCCACCCTTATTATGTAGCTAATTAGGAAAGTCTTCCATGTAATATATATCTTCTAGGATTCTCATCAGTGTTGCCCCCTACCCTATTACATTAATTATGTCATACCCATTATTAAGTGCATAAATCTGAAAATTAATATGATTATTTAATCCAGCATGGTCGATAACATAATGGTAGCGCTTAAAATAATTAGCCTGACTTGAAATCACTCCAATTTTTTGTCATATCAACACGATATACACAATGTGACTAGCAAAAAAACAATAGCAATACATAACCAATTTTTACCATCATTCACTTCATGTTCAAGAAAAACACGAGGTATACTAATGATTTTCACCTTTGATAGTAATCATTTTGGATAGGCTAGATGGATCGATTTTCCCCCATTCTTTCACCTGAAAATTGTGCTCTAGAATTGTTTAGTAGTTACTGCTGGACTGTCTTTGTAATTTACAGAGTAAGAATGTATTTTGTGGAATATAGTACTAGTGGTGCTCTAAATCTGTAGGGGATAACTATTGAAATCATATGGGACCTTTTGTGCAATCCAAGGCTGTGAAGGTATGGAAATTATTTATCAAGAAATTAAAAAAGGCAAGGGATGTGCTTGCCATTAGATTCAGGTTATAGAGAGTGATCATTCTTACTTACTGCTGTGAAATTGTGGTGCAGATCGATATACTATTTATCTCTGCTTTACCAGTCATTTAAGAAATGGCTGATGCCTGTGAGATTCTAAATTTGGACATAATATGCCTTTATTCTCTTTTTTCTTGGTAGACGATGCTACAATCATTATGTATGAACAAAAACATATATGACATATGAGTAGTAGTGAAGTGCACTAAAAAAAGAGAGTTGTCAAGTGTATTATGTTTCTTGCCTTGAGGTCTTATTTTGTACCTTATAAATAATTGTAGCTTACTGATTTATTTTTCTGGAGTTTTTATTATGTGAAATGAACTAGTTTGATTGAGTTTAAAATGTTTAGACATGCAAAGTAGCCATATATGCTCAATTGGCACTTTGACTTTGGCTGTTATATTAGATGTCCTCATGATGTAGATATTATCTAATATCTGTAGTTAGTAACTCTATTCGTGCTACCAACTACCATCACATCTGCTGATTGACACTCTTTATGAGCCAGTGATCACCTACTCAGAGATGATAAGATGCTTGGCAGTCTGCATTATGGCACATTCTGTTAAGTTTATGGTCGGCCAGGGGCTCAGCAATTACCCTCTAAAGCTTGTTATGTAATTGGCATCTCTGAACTTTTCATGCATAACACGTAGCATTGTCTTGAGAGCTATGACTCTAATATGAGATGATACGGTCTTTCTCATCTTTGGAACGAGAATAATTGATTTCGTGCTTCCTTCTCGAGTTAATGATGCATTGCTATCCTGGTACTATTGCTCCATGGAGATTTGTACAAACAACGTTCAAATGATGTTATGCTGGTGTGCTGTCTTAGTATTAGTCACGTTGAGGAGTCTGAAGGAAAATGTTGCTTGTGTAAGCTTCCCATCTGGGGGTCAAGAATGTGATGAACTGGTCGAAAATTGTTCCCTGTTAAAATCGCAATCATGTTGTGCAAGGGACCCGAGGTTGCAGACTGCAGTTTTATTCCCCAGTGACATCATTAAAAGTGTTCAGGAATGCTGTCATTTGTTGATTTTCTTGGGAATGAATTCTAATTTGTTTCCTTCGCATCAAATTTGACTAGGGAAATATTTACATATACATAGTTTTGAACATGTGGATTGCTGGAAAAAGACAGAAGAATGATTTTTATGTTTCTGAACTCAAGTCTGACTAGATCTTATATTTCTACTAGGCAAGATGAGTTTGTACTTCTTTTATTACTTAGGAACCATGTGAGATGAAATTCTCGTGTACGGTTTTTCAGTGGAAGAAGAAGTGAAGTATCCTCTTTGCAACAACCTCAACTTTCCCATTCTCGAAAGTATTCACATGCTTAGTTTGTACGAATATTTTCTTTACTCTAATGGATTGTTATATTGAATTAATTCAATCTTAAATAATATTTCTACCACTCGATGGTTCTGATAATAAAATTTTCATTTGGGAATTTGTTTACTCTTCAATCCTCATAAAAAAAATTTGAAAAGAGAAATTACCATGAACTCCTTATATGGTGGTAACATTTGGGTAGAGCGCGGTCGAGAGTTCACGCCTCACCCTAGCCAACCAAAATAGCTTTGCTTTTGTATTTTAATAATATATTCCTTTTATCTTTAGTTCCGCCTATTTTTTAAAATTCATTTTTTAAATAATAATAATAATAATAATAATAATAATAATAATAATAATAATAATAATAATAATAATAATAATAATATTTATTTATTATACAATTATGTTACATGTACATTTTGTTTTACATCATTTTTTATATTGTGTCATGTATCAGCACATTATTGGAAATTTTTTTAAAAAATACTTTTTCATCCAACACTTTTTGAATTCTCACACAATGTAAAAACATATGTATACCATGGAATGTATACCATTTATTATTTTATATAAAAAAAAATTGAATTTTTATTAACTTTTTTCTTCTAGGTTAACAAGGCAATAAATAAATAATTGTCGTCCGTGGCTCCGTCAACAACTATCACATTATTCATCGTATTTAGTCCTTGTTTGAGCCCCATTTTTTTCCAAAGAAAATACATTCTTGAATAGTGTTTTGACATGATAAAATAATATTACACGCAAATTCAAAATTTTTCCTTATTTTTTTAACTACGCATTTCCATCAATACACTATTCAAAAATCCATTTTTCGACAAAAATGAGATTCAAACAAGCCCTTAATTAGAAAGCCACGAAGAATGGAAGTATATATCCATTCAAAACACAACGAGAATTACATAGTGAAGAAAACTCCATTTTATTTTTGATATTTGTATCCCTTCTTTGTTGACCAAACGTATAAAAGCTAATTAAATATTCAGTCGCGTGTTTGGTAAGGTATGTTAGATTGTATTCCAACGTTCAATTATGTCTTGTACGAATCACGCTTACAGAATATAGCTCATAACTTGTCACACTGTGTTGGAATGAATGACATAGTTTCCTTCTTTAGATCATGAAGCACTAGCATATTCTGCTGCTGAGTGTTACCAAAAATGGACATTCCAGTTGAACTTCCCATTGCCAAACATGCAACTCCCACATCAGAATCAGCAATCATGTAATTATCCCCTGGCAATTCCAAATCCGCCCCAGTAAAATGGAAAACTAGTTTTGGAACCTTGATGTCATTTGCACCAGACGGCAAAGTGAAGCAAAGATCGAGGCCGGCCTCGCCGGATTCGTCGATCGGGAGTTTCATCTGAGAAGTGAATTCTTGTTTCAGCAGATCAAAAGCACTTTCTTCTAAATAAGTAATTGTGGTGCCAGAGTCTATGATTATCCCACCACTCCCATCTGAATTGAGTACAAAAGTGGACTTTTTGATAGGTAATAGGGTATCACCAACTGTAATCCCTTCAAGGGAAAGATAGTAAAAAGAGGGCTGCGATGGATTCTTGATTAAAGGGGTGGTTTTGATTGAATTTCCCGTGGCATTTACTCCAGCTAGTGACCCCATCAAAAGTGTACCAGTCTTTTTAGCATCAATTGAGGTTAGACAATATGAGAATTTGGGTTCATCAAGTTGTGAAACAAGTGACAATGGTCCACGCCCTAGTCCCACCAACCCTTCCCCTTGATTGAACCCACTCCCTTCATTTTCTAGACCACATCCAAATGCAACTTTAGGTATCGAAACCTTGTCGAACGTGAACGTTTCGGTAGCCATAACACCTTGAGTCGACGAGTAATCTCCATACGTGTATAGATACTCACAGCCATCACTACAAGTTGACGAAGGAAGCGCGCCGCAAAGAGTGCTCGAACACGACAACGTAGAAAAAGACGATGATTTCTTGGGATCAAAAATCGGTGTAGATTGATTGAAACACTGCTTACAAGGCTTACACTGAGTCCATATCAGGTCACTTCCAGTATCCATAATAGCATTATAAGACTTTGAGGGAGTACCAATTGCCAATTGCATAAGAAACTCACCATTTCCTGCATGAACTGGGGATTCAGCACTAGAATCTGATTCTGCTAAGGCCATTAAGTTTAGCCTTTCCATCCTCTTTCTCCCACGTTTCATCGCGCGCTGTAAAAGCTCGAATCTTGTGAAGTTTCCAGCCGAATCGACGTGTTTAAGGCTTATTTGGAAGCCCTTTTGGACTTTAGGGTGATCTAGTGCACGTCTGGATGTGGAATAAGCTGGTGAAACAAATAAAAATGCAATAAGAAAAGCCAAAAACATAGTTGAAGACAACATAGGATATCTTACTGATGACATTGGGATCAAGAATATTGGATACTACAAGGATTTTACTATGTTGTTGGATAGTATATATAGGATTTAGAGAAAGAGAAGGTCTTGTGTTGAACAATGGAATGGATCAAATTTTCCAAATGCCTAAATGAGGGATCAGATGGAATGAGTACAGGTTTAGTACTTGGGTGAGTTTAGGCCCTGTATGATTGAGGTGGTTTTCCACGAAAATGGAAAAGAAATTCCATTTTCACACGAATTACATGTTTGATTAGCCAACAATTCTTGGCAATTGAATTTCCACATTTTGGCCCACACGTTCACAATTCTTGGTAAATAAGGAATTCATTTGCCCATGATTTTGGTGGGAAAAGGTTTTCCAGCAAATTTTTTTTTTATTTTTTGGCAATGGAAATAAATTTTATCTCCAATTGTAAATAATTTTTTCCCTTTAATGAACAATTTTCATGGAAAACAAAGTCAAACGAACACCAAAAGATCCAAAATTTCAACATTTTTCAGGTAAAAAATTATACTAATCAAACACAATTAATTGACAATTCTCAATAAAATGAATTTTAGGCAATTTAATTCCCTGAAATTCATTTTTTTAACCCAAATTACATCCTTAAAATCAATCGGACCCTTGGGGAAAAAGCTGGCTATGGATTCAAATAATTAAGGTATTTCAACATCAGAGGAAGGTGCCATATCACCGTTGTGTGTGTCCTGGTCATGGGGGTAGGTGGGGTGGAATAGGAGAGTCGAGATGGTATAGTTAGGGAAACCAATTTCAAAGCCTCAACTCTTTTCTTATCTTGCTTTAATTTCTTGTAAGAGGGTAGAATTATTTAAAATAATAATGTAATTTTTCAAAATATTAATGATTGAATGGAGAATCAATTAATTTTCTCACCATCTTATTATGGCATATTTAATATAGAATAATGGAGAGGACACGACAAAAGTGTGACAAAATTTTTAACTTTTTTCTTTGTTTACCAAAACAAAAAAAAACATCAATTATTTAAGTTTTTCATTATCATTCAATAATCACGAAGTTTTTATGTATCACACATTTGATTAAAAGTGAATTCAGCGATACACGTATCATTTCTCTTAAACTTTTAGATGTGTCGAAGATACACGTATCATTTCTCTTCTTAAACTTTTAGTTCAAAAGAGGGGGGGGGGGGGGGGGGTGGGGTTCAAATGGATAAACAAATATTTATAAAGTTTTTTATAAATATATTTTAGAATTATGCTATACAAACAAATGGCATTAACTTGTAGATTAGGGAGTTGACAAGTTGAATGAACCGAAAGAGAGTTGGTGGTCTAATTCGTTTACTCTTTATGCGCCACTGAAAGCATGGTCATAATTTGTTTACTTTGATAGTTGGATTTGGTTAATTAGGTTTGAAGCAATAAGAAAATAAAAATATTATTATAATTAATCCTTCCTAATTAATCCCAGCTATTTGTTATGGTTAAACTATAAATTTTCAAGTCATGCAAGTTAATTATCGGGTCGTCAAGAATCGTAATACACGTTTCTTTAGAGCGTAGGCGACTAGAATGCAGTTTATCGTATTATCAGGTCGGGAGCAATTGTCGTTGTTGTTTAAGATACGACTTTTGCTCATATTATATATATGTATATATATGTTTTCATGTTTTTAATATAATTAGACAATTGTATAAAGACTTTTGTGCGGTGTTTAAGAACTAGGAAACGAGCGTGAACAAGTTGATAAGGTAGAATGATTAAAATCGTAAAAAGTAGTGTAATTGCCCAACACGCAGTCTTGAGGATTGACAAAGATCACGTACAAGGATCTATGGTGGAAGAAAGCTTTAGCGTTAAGGAAGGCCAATCATCCTTTTAATG